TCGATACGTGACAGTTATATTTAATGTTCACTGATTGCTTTGCTTTTGCAGAGTGCGCTTGGTTCGTGCTTAGCGCAGGGGGGTCCCAACCCCCTGCTTGTGTCTCTTAGCCGTAATTCAGGTATCTCGTGAGTGTGAGGACACGAGAACTTACACGTGCGGCTTGTCACACGGTTAGACCGAAGTCTTGCTGCCTGAAAATTCGTGGCCCGCTAGTATACTATACTGTCCCCCACGTGGAGGGGGACACTTCACTTTAACCACCTTTTGACCACATTAAGTCTTACAAATCTCAAAATTCTCTCTCTCTTTTCTTATCGTGATCTACTAGCAATAATCGCACCTCGGATAAACCTCATTGGTTACGATAATGCCTCTGCGCAAAGCTGAGAATAACCTAAGTAGGATGTCCGTGGGCTATCTTGTGCTATCTGGGCATTAGTTAATTCTGCACCAACAAATGTACTTACTGAATTGGATCCTTTGGCAAAACATGAAAATGCAACGATTTAGTTCTTGAATTTATTTACAATTAAAAACACAATAAATCATCATGATCCCTTAGATAAAATACATACACTAACGTAACTATCTAAGCATTTAAGCGTTAATCAATGATATAAGGAATAATCAATCGAAATCGAGTACTAAAAAAGTTATTGAATTTTTTCCTTGCAACGTAAAACACAAATAACGTGCGCGATTTAGCTGAGCAATTGAACAAAATTTGTCGAGTAAGACTTCTGCCTTCCCCTCTTTTGTGAAAAACTACCTATTTATTTAAAAATGATGTATAATCTGTGCTTTAAATGTATTGTTGACAATTCTTAAATTCACGCAATGCTATCGAAGCCCACGTCCTGGACGCCTATTCTCGAGTTCGTAGGAGTAGAAATTTGTAATAGAAATGGGCGGAGTTCTCTCGAAAACATCTACAGCTGTATTCTTGAAACCAGCAAGTGAATATTTTCATGCATTATCGGGCGAACCCCCTTCTACTACTGATTTGTAGTAGAATTCAAGATTCCCGAGAGAAAATTTGACATTTTGCGAATGTTAGTAAAATACTCAACCTAATTTATTTATAGTTTATTCTGTGGTATTAGTATTAGTGTTTATGCTTATGTTCTGTGTGTTTTCAAGTGATTTATTACAATTGATCCGCACAATTTAAACCTAGCGTTTAATATTATCAGAGACTTGAAAGATGCTGAAGAACAAGCAGATGAACCCAACCGAGTTGTTTTAAACCGCGAAAATCCATTTCAGAAATAAAATTTATGAGATATTTTAGAGCTAATAATCTTTGTTTGCTCCACCAGGGACACTATTTAATGCCCGTGCCTCTTTTTTTGTCGATTCTGCAAAATTGCCACTTAAAAGTTAAGGGTAGCTTTTTAAGAAGTCTTATAAAATTTCTTTTTGTCTTGGAGTAACGGACACTTTTCGTTCCATTTTGACTAGTAATAACTAATACACAAAACTCTTTGAATTTGCAACAAAAAACTATTACATCTAGGTTATTAATCACATTTCAAATGTGACACTATAGTCAACTTAAGTTACGCGGGAAATTTAAATTACTTTCATTTGATTGGGCAAATACAGTATTTAAATATGGCGACATGCTTTTCACGGTAATCCGTCGAGAATACGACTTTGACATAGGTACCGAGAGAAAATTTCGGGGATGTTCGTTCTACTACAGGGAGAGCTCTCCGGCGGATATTTTCTTTGGCAGTCAAGAATAGGGGTCCAGATGGCGCGCGCGTTGCGAAATCCCGATACTTCTATAGCGTATATGTACATGAATTTATTCTACAGTGATTTGTAAGTTTACATTTTCTTTGCTGATTTCGAGCTTAACGCGATAGATAGAACCACTTTTCCTATGCTATTTTAATGTATTTTCATTATTGTACAGCGGTGTATAATAATTTAAATTTTAAATTGCTTACAAATATAAAGTCTTTATATATAGGCTTATGAGAATTATAATATGAAAATTGTTATACGTTTAAAAAAAAGTAATAAATCAAAACCCAACCTAAAAAACATAATTTTAATATTGCCGTTGCTGTAGCTGTATACATTATATGGTAATTTTTTTAAAAACTTTTTAGACAAGGTGGCGCAACGCGATTTTCCAATACTTTAATTTTTTTTAATAGAAAAAATCGGTTTTGTTTGTAAATAATGTTTAGTTGGACCTTTACATTTTTTTCCTGTTAAGTCGAGAAAATTATATCGGCCATGTGGCCATTACTTTAGGCGATAGATTTGTCATTTTATCTTCAATCTTCTTTTTAAGGTCTGCCAAGGTCTGTGGCTTGTTAACATAAACACAACACTTCAAATAACCTTATAGAAAAGAGTCTGGAGCAGTCTACAAAACACCAAAACGAGAAGTTAAGCAACCGGGAAATATCGCGAGCAGAACGTATGTACATTGTTGCTCGCCTGATTTGACTACTACAGACTTTTTTCTTTGGGATTTTTTAAAGTTTCGCCTTTATGTGAACAAGCCACATACCTTGGCAGCCCTAAAAGAGAATATTGAAGATAAAAATACAATGTTGAAGTATTAAGAAAAGTAATGAAAAATGCTTGAACTCTGGCAGGGGCCGATATTATTTTCTCGACTTAACAGGAAAAAATTTAAACGTCCAAATAAACATTATTTACAAATAGAACTGATTTTTTTTTATTTACAAAAAAAGTCAAACATAAGGAAATTGGGTGATGACTTTTGTACCACGTTGTATTATTTAATATTGTCTTTTTATTTGATTTTGTTTTTTATTTTTTGTAATTTTGTATGGTATTATATTTTAATAGATTTTTTTTTAAATTCTTTACAATATTGTATTGTATTTACTTATATTATTATTTTTTATATTATAATGCTGCATCAGGATTACTTTAATATTATTATTTATAATTATAATATTTATTAAATTAATATTTAAATAATTAACAGAACTTTTATTTTAAAAAAGTTTCTGTTAAAACCAGTGGCGGCTGGTGGATTTTGGGCACACCCATATCTCAGTTATTAGACATGGGACCCACATCAAATTTATATTAGTTTATAATGACATTATATAGACAAGTTCTGCATAAGCAGAATTTAAATTAAAGTTTGCGAAAAAAAGTTAGTTTTTAAGTGTGCCCCCCAGCCTCCTGCACCCCCAAATTAAGATAATTCAAATTAAAGTGGTATAATAATTCACTGAAGTATATCCACAAATTTAAAATTTTGTTAAAAAAATTTAAGAATTACAGTTTTTATACCATTTTAAATTTTTATTATTTCTTTTACTAAATAGAAATGCTATAAAATCTGTAATACTTTTTAATTTTTTTAATAAAATTTGAAATTTGTCGATAAACTTCAGTGGATTAAATATTGTACCACTTTAATTTGAATTATCTTAATTTGTCACGTGATCTGTTATTTATATTTTAATTTTAAAACTGTTTTTAAACATTTTTGTTTGATTTTGACTTACTAATTAAACAAAGTCACTGCATGAATTAAGTAATTTTAAATGGGAAATTAACATAAATTTTGAATAATGAGCTTAAGTATTAGGTAAATATTAGAATTAACCAATTTAAATCGATATTTACCAATTACCTAATACATACATTAGTTTAAGTTAACATAATAGAATAAAGGTTTGAAAAACGTCTACCATGATGATGTACCTATTTATGACAAAACTAATATACCTATAAGGAGTTTCTTTAACAATGCGGCGGAAAATTAATTTTAAAATATATAATATATTTTTGTGAAAATTTGGAAAACCCGACATTTAAATCAGAAGAAAAATGCCACCAATTTGCTAATTTAACCGACTTTGTAACTCCAATAATTACAGAGTTAAAATGGTAGCAATCGTGAGCAGATATTTTTGGACACGTTGTATGTATTAAATTATTTTTTTTTAAATACGATATTTTTGTCATTTTTGACTTTCTGAGTGACTACTCGCCTTTCTAATCTGTACTCCGTTATTATTGGAGCTACAAAGTCAGTTAAATTAGCAAATTGGTAGAATTTTTTTCTGATTTAAATGGTGAAAACAGAAAAACAATTAAATGTCGAGTTTCCGAAATTTTTACAAAAATAATTTTTTTTACCCATTTTAAAAGAATTTTTTTTTGGAACAACAGCTACCTACCCTAAACTTAAAAATAAACAATTAATAAGCATTCGAACTTTCTGATTGGTGTTAAAATAATTTGGTTATTTTAACATCAATCAGAAATTTCAAGTGCTTTTTTAATTGTTTATTACAATATATAGTTTAAACATCCATTTTTGGAAGAAAATATAAAACTGTTCTATAGAACTGTTCTATTAGAACATTTTACAAAATATAAATCTTTTTAATAGTTATTTTCTATACACCAACACACGACTTCTTTACTTCAACACTAAATTTCTACTCGAAGGTTTTGCAAGTCATTGTGTTTTTTATGTTGCCCAGGATGTTTAAAAAAATAAATCTAAAAGGGCAGCACATTACAATTCAATTTTTGTAAAATATTTGTATAAAAACAATTACACAAAGTTTTATAATGTTAAAAGAAAAATGTAATACATTTATCAATAATTATTATGTTTTTTATTTGTCTTGCCTACAGTTTTATTCTAACAATTTCTATAAAGAAATTGTATAATCACTCTGAAACAATGATTTTTTTTAGATACCTACACAACTATAAAAAATATAAGAGACACGTGTTAACCAATTGTCAGACAGATTTATTAATACGATTTAATTATATTTAAATAAGCACATAAGTATAGTTAAAATAAAAATTGTAATTAGCTCATGCACATTTCAAATAGCAAATTCCTTGAAATTCAACTCACTTCAAGTTGAATAAATTTGATTGTCAAGGATATGAAGGACAAACCAACGGTTTGTACCTTCACACTTATAAAAGGTAATTGCATCCGAGCTTTTTTTCACTTTGCCAATAATTGCTTATTGTTTAACATTTACCGCAATACGATCCCTGCAATTAATCCGGATGTGATTAATAAAAAAAATAAAAGATGTTATTAAAAATGATCGGTTTTAAAATTTTCGGTGTTTTAATTATGGAATTGTTTGTGATTAGTGTTGAGTGTGGAAATGTGGACCGAAGTATTTTTCCTCAATTGCCTGTGACAGTGCAAAAAAGTGAAGAGGGCTTGTGCAAAAAGCATAGTGATTTGTATCTGGATAGTTTAAATAATTTGACGCTATGGGCTGAAGAAAGTAAGTACACCATATAATAATTGTGAAATTAATGGATAGCGTTTAACGAAAAGGAAGCAAGCGCCAAACACTTTTTCTGGGCTTGGTAAAATTATTTGTAAAATAACTTATTTTGAATAATGCTCAAAAGGCTGATCTTTATTTGGAACTTTTCTCAAAAGGATTGAGAGGGTTCCCAAATCATTATTAATTATTTGAGCAGCATTAAAAATGAGTTATTTTGCAAATAATTTTGTTTACCCCAGAAAGTTTTTGGCGCATGGTTCCTTTTCGTTAAACGCTATCCAAATAAGACTAAGAAGTAACAAATTTAAACTAATAATGCTGCAAGCAACAGCTAAAAATATTTCTAACCATCAGCTTGATTGAAAATCAAATTATTATTAGATAATATTATAAAAGTCGACTAACTTTAACAAAACCACATAAATCCACCATAAACAATTTGGTATTGAACTTTTATAAAAGCGAATTTATTCGGTTTTGCATAAAAACATAAAATTTTATTTTAATCCACACTTTTTAAAGGATTTATGTGGTTTTGTTACCATGGTGCAGGAAGTTTAAGATGATGACTTTATATGCACAGGGTGTTTTTAAATATTATGTAGGTACATACGGAAGGGGGTAATCCTTTGGCTTATTTCATAACTAAGAATTCATATAAATATAGGTCCTCAAACGCTTCTTAAACGATCTACTGGGCGATAAAATCTTAAGATTTTCTTATTTTTTTTCGTTAAAGCTCCTGCAGTTTTTAAGATAAAGTTGCATATATGCCAAACCAGCAAATTAAGCCTTGCTTATTGTTTAATTCTGCTTTAGATCCAATAGTGAGCGTAGTGTTTATGCGTTTATTACGTCACAGAAAAATGGAGATAAAATTGCAGGTGAAATCTTAAAACGGTTTTGTATATATACAAAGCAATAAATTCCAAAAGCAAAATTTCTTTAAACAAAATTTACTCATCAGCACTCATCCAGGATCTAGATAAAAATGTATTATCAAAAATTTAATCCATGGATTAAGAAAATAAAAACATTATGTATATATTATTCGGGAAAATTTAAAAGTCAATAGAACTCGCAAAATTAAGAAGAATCATGGGTATGTATGTATGCTTTTAAGCTTTGTTTTCGAGATAAAGGGTATTAAAGTTGTATCTTAAATTGCTTGAACCAAAAATAATATTAAACTTAAGGCAATAATGAAATCAGAGGAGCTGTCTATCAATTTACCAATTGAAAATAGGTCTTATATCTCAGACCATCCACCTTGGACACCAGAGTACCCCAAATATCTAAAGATATAAAAAATTCAATTTTGGCCAGTTGGGCAGAAGAATGGTCTGAAAGGGACACCTTCTTAGGTCAATTTGTTGATTCTGTAGAGGAAGTTAGGATCGCTAATTTGGAAAGAAGGGAGCAAATCGTTATTACCAGGCTAAGGCTGGGGCATACTAAGATTACCAAGTCCTATCTTTTAGAGGGTGGAGACTTACCTGAGTGTGAAGGAAAAAAAATATTAAACTTAAAATTAAAAAAATAAATTAAATTTAAATACATTAAATTAAGCCCTTGACCTATTGCTAAAAGCCTAAACAGTCTTATTAATTGTGATCCAATTTTTTTTTTAATAATAATAATAATAATAATATTTAAAACAAGTATACTTGTATACATACATTTACATTATTCTAACTTTACATTTACATTATTCTAACTTTTTTAAATACATATATCACAATTTTTCTATCACAAAATATTTTAACAAGTTTTTAAAATGAATGAAGTTATCACAGTATTTAATTTCATGTGGTAACTTATTATACAATTGAAATTCTTTAAAAAATATACTTTTGCTATATTTACTGGACGTTGGTTTCTCTATATAAATATCTTTGTGTTGCCTTGTTAGATAGTTATGAATATCACAGTTTAATTTTACTTTTTTTTGTTAAATATATGGGAGTCATATGGTTTAATATTTTAACAACAAAGATTAAGGTTTTAAAAGTTATTCTTTGACTAACAGGCATAAAATTTAGTACATTTAACATTAAATGTACAGGTGTGCATTTGTTACATTGCAGTATTACTCCGATAACCTTATTTTGTAGAATTTGTAGTCTTTCCTGTTCATTTTTGTCCAAAGAGAATTGTAGAGCAATATTCAAAGTGGGGGCTGTTAGTGTTTTGTATAATGTTATTTTAAAATTTATACTTAATTCTCTTCCAATTCTTAAAAAAATTATTTTTTATTAATCTTGTTTTGTACATACTTAAAATGGCTTAAAAATTTAAATGTTTGTCAATTATAACTCCCAAGTATTTAATTTCTTCAACTATATATATATATATATATATATATATATATCTAATTTTATTCCATTTATTATAATATTAAGGTCTACATTAATATTAAATTTACTAACTACCATATATTTAGATTTTTGAATATTAATACTTAAACTATTATCACAAAGCCAGGTATAAATTCTCTGAAGATCACAGTTAATTTCTTTTCTCTTTTCCTCTATGTTATTACCAATTATGTATATACAACATGGTATCGTCCGCAAACATAACTATTTTACAATTTAATATTACTTTTGCAATATCATTAATGTATAAAATAATTCCCCTATCCCTATCTTCATTTTTAATTTCTTCAGAGAATTTATATATATATATATAGGTACATATATCACAATTTTTCTATCACAAAATATTTTAACAAGTTTTTAAAATGAATGATGTTATCACAGTATTTAATTTCATGTGGTAACTTATTATACAATTGAAATCCTTTAAAAAATATACTTTTGCTATATTTACTGGACGTTGGTTTATCTATATAAATATCTTTGTCTTGCCTTGTTGGATAGTTATGAATATCACAGTTTAATTTTACTTTTTTAGTTAAATATATGGGAGTCATATGGTTTAATATTTAAACAACAAAGATTAAGGTTTTAAAAGTTATTCTTTGACCAACAGGCATAAAATTTAGTACATTTAACATTAAATGTACAGGTGTGTATTGGTTACATTGCAGTATTACTCTCATAACCTTATTTTGTAGAATTTGTAGTCTTTCCTGTTCATTTTTGTTAAGTCCAAAGAGAATTGTAGAGCAATATTCAAAGTGGGGGGCTATTAGTGTTTAATTTTTTCAACTAGGTATATCTAATTTTATTCCATTTATTATAATATTAAGGTCTACATTATTATTAAACTTACTAACTACAATATATTTAGATTTTTGAATATTAATACTTAAACTATTATCACAAAGCCAGGTATAAATTCTCTGAAGATCACAGTTCATTTCTTTTCTCTTTTCCTCTATGTTATTACCAATTATGTATATACAACATGATATCGTCCGCAAACATAACTATTTTAAAATTTAATATTACTTTTGCAATATCATTAATGTATAAAATAAATAATATGCCGGCTAATTTAGTTCCTTGAGGAACTCCATCTTCATTTTTAATTTCTTCAGAGAATTTATTTTTATACTTAACTTTCTGCTTTCTATTTTTTAAAAAGGATTCGAACCAACTTAATGCCACTCAGTTAAAACCAATTTTATTTAATTTTCTTAATAGTAAGTTTATATTAATAGTTTGAAATGCCCTTTTAAATTCCAGAAAAACAGCCAATATATTTAAATTATTCACATGAGTGCTTCTTTCTAAACCCCGATTGGTTTTCACAAAATACATTGTTATTTTCACAGTATTCAACTAGTTGTTCTTTTAACACATCTTCCAATATTTTTTCAAAAAGTGGTCTAAATTCTTCACATAACATAGTGTTAGGCACTTTTGGTACAGGAATTACAACAGAAACTTTTAGTTTTGATAGAAATGTTCCTTTTGATATTGACGTGTTAACAACTTCTAAAAATCGGTGTCCTATTACTTCGAAAGCATCTTTAATTATAGAGGTGGTGACTATATGTTCTATATCCATTGAGTTTTTTAATGAATAAATAACATTTCTTAATTTTGACATGGTGATTGGTTTAAATTTATCAATGTTTTTTATAAAATCAACATTGTTTAAAGTATATTCAACATTATTAACTTTTTTTATATTGTTTACAATTTCTTTAATGCTTTTAATGAAATATGTGTTGAATTTCTCGCTTATTATTTGTTCTTCTTTTTCTTCACCATCCCTAAACTTTATCCTTTCTCCACATTTATTATTTTTGTCAGGTAATATTTTATTAAGTTCTTTCCATAGTACTTTAGAGTTCTTTCTGTTAGATTCAATCGTTTCATTAAAATGATTTTCTTTAGCTTTCCTAATCGCTGTTATTATTTTATTTCTTTGTTTTTTATATGCATACCAGTCCTCTGCCATATTAGTATACACCGCTCTTTTAAAATACCTGTTTCTTTCCTTTATTGCTTGTAGTATTTCGTTATGTAGGTAATATTTTGTTAATAACCTTACCAACCTGTAACACAAAAACAGAACTTTATATAAATTTTCCTTCTACTTGAAATTTATTTTCACTTTCTTGTAATATTACTACTGAGAAGAATATGTCTAAAAAAATAAGATCCCTTAGCCAGGCTACGCCCTTAGAAATGACCCGTGTAAATTATTATTTTAAAAAAATTTACTAAATTTATTAATTATTTTACAATAATATTACGTTTTTTATGTTTTTTTTTCTATAATAGCAATTATAAATAATAAATGGAATTAATCTTTTTAATTTTTTTCAGTGTGGGACTCAACAGCCAAGTCTGCAACTGGCGTTTTGAGGGGCAGTATTTTTCAAATGGGGCATTTCGAACAATGCCTTACGACTCGGGCCCCCTTTGAAACAAAATATTGTCTAGCCACAGTGATTGCCAAAGTTCCTAAACCAATGAAACAAAGAGATCATCTTTCTTTATTTTACCATCCTGAAAATGATGTTTTTGAAAGACTTTATGTAAGAAAAAAAAATATTATTTAGAAGTTAATAAACTATACCTAAATGATAAAGTAAATATTAAATATGTGTACAAATTCTAATTTTTTATGGTCATGGTTTTATTTAAAATATCAAAAAACAGTTAAGCTTTGATAAAGAGAATTTTTGACACTAATCTCAATTCTTCAAGAAGCATTTCTACAAAATTCCAAAACTGTTTAGTGGACAAAATTTGTTAATATTTTCATTTCAAATCGTCAATGTGATTATTTTTTCTTTATCGCAATAATGAGAAACACATTTTTTTTTACTTATTATAACTAATACTTGCCAAACATGATTAAGAAAAAAAAATGTTGTGCATTTTCGACAATCGAATACTCTTTGTATTATAATTATATTTAAAATTATCCAATTTGTGGGATGAATTTATTTAAATAAGTTTAAACAACGAATTAAAATAAAAATTTTTTAGATTATTTTTGCAATAGAAGTTATAATCGACTGAAAACACGATTTTTTAATGTATTATTCTCTTAATTGGAAAATTTTATATATACACATCGTCATATACAAAGTTAATTTTTTTCTATCTAATCATGTAAAATTTCAATATGGCGGCCATAGCAAATTACAAATTTAATGAAAATATACTTTTTTTTTAAATTACCAGGAATAAAGTTATAGTTATAAAGATTTTTGTTTTTTACAGGTTTTTAGTTTTTTCACATTATTTGAGAACCGCAGATTTTTTTAAAATTTTAAATACACATTTGTATTTCTTCTGATTTTTTTTTGTCTCCCTTCAAATAAAAAAAGATACCCATACATTGAAGGTTAATTTTACATTTAATGTTCCGATTTTTATCTAAACGATTTGAGAGGAAAAGCTGCCTTAATAGTTGAAATAATATTTTTCAAATATTGTGGGTAGTTGAAAATTATACGGAATTTGTATGCATCAGTGGCGAATTGTGGATTTTTGGTATACCAACTCTTTAAAAATGAATTAGTCAAAAATGACTAGTAAAAAAGCAGTCACTAATGCCACAGCAATTTGTATCCCGGATATTAAACAGCCAATTCTTAATTAAAATTGTCCCTTGAATCCGAAAATACCGTCAAAAATTATTAAAGTAAAGCAGTTTTTGAGATATAGTCAATTCCATATTATCTAAAAAATTGACTACATCTCAAAAACTGTTCCACTTTTTTACTTTTGCGACATTTTCGGATTCAGCGAACAATTTTACATAGGAATTGACTGCTAAATGTCCGGGATACAAATTGATGTTGACGAGAATTAATTAATGGCTGCTTTTTCGCTATGACAATTAGTCATTTTTGACTAATTCATTTTTAGAGAGAATATCTCAGTTAATAGACATGTGACATACACCAAATTTGTATAAGCAGAATTTAAATTGAAGTTTGCGAAAAAAATTAGTTTTTAGCGCGCCTTACCAGCCCGCTGCCACCCCTAATTAAGATTATTCAAATTAAAGTGGTGCAATTCATAATTCACTAAATTTTATCAGAATTTTTCAAAATTTATTTAAAAAATCTACAAAACTACAGATTTCATACCATTTTAAATTTGTATTATTCTTTTAACTAAAATTTAAAAAAATTAAAAATAGTAAAAAATCCTGGATTATAAAAATAAATTTTGAAATTTGTCGATAAACTTAAGTGAATTATGAATTGTACCACTTAAATAATCTTGAAAATTGAATAATCCTAATTAGGGGGCTGGTAAGGCGCGCTGAAACTTTTTTTCACAAACTTGCCCAGAACTTCAATCCGCCACTGGTATGCATTTCGTCAACCAAATATAACAAGGTTGTATGTTAAAAAACCGAAAAGTTTGAGTTTATTCTTCTACAAGGTTTTATGTAATCCACCCTTGACATACAACTTGAAAATAACTCTATATACTCTATATTAGGGTGAGCCAAAAAAACTAACCTATCGGATTTATGGGTTAAAATGAACCTACATACCGAGCAAAAAATTTTCCTGCAAGGAAAAATTTTTTGCTCAATTTTAAAAGGTGTCGGTGAGCATTCTAAGTTTTCCATTGAAATAACACGTAAAAAAATCTTTTTTCATTAAAAAAAATATAACTTTTGAACCGTTTGAGATAAAAAATTTTACGTCGCGGATTCTTGTAGAGCATAAAATTTCCTACAAAATCTATCCCAGAATTATTTTTTTTCAATTTAAAAATTCGTATATTTGAAAGCTTTGAAAAGTGAAAAAAATCATAATATTTAGTTTTAGTGTTTTTTGACTAAAAATGTTCATTAGGGTGTTTCATTTAAAACGAAATTTTTTTTTTCTTGCTGACACATGAAAATTTCGGTTTTTAGGTTGAAAAAAAATTCCCTGAAAATTTGAGCCCTTAATTTTGATTCTAAGTACTTCCTTTTTAATTTTGTAGTTTTTCCATATAAAAAGCATGTATTTTTAATCATTTTTACTTTAAATTTCTATATTTTGGCCGGGTTTTGAATTATAATTTTTATCACCATAATAAAGGCCCTGCATCAATTTTGTTTTTGATTTATTTACGTTGATTGTAGTAGCTCCAAAAGTCGTTTTTTTCCTTTTTTCTCATATTTTTTAGAAAATCGAGCGAATGACTGGTTTTACCGAAAAAGTTCAAATAAAAAAGTTGTAGAAAATTTAATTTTTGACTAAAAAGGTTTTTACGTTCATATCACTAAAGTGCTTTGTTTAAGAGATATAAGCAATATATAGTTGTTGAATGAAATTACATAAATTTCAATAAAACCTATTTTTTCTTTGTTTTTGGTTATTGAATTGCTTATATCTCTTAAACAAAGCACTTTAGTGATATGAACGTAAGAACCTTTTAAATTTCCTACAACTTTTTTATTTGAACTTTTTGGGTAAAACCAGTCATTCGATGGATTTTCTCAAAAATATGTGAGAAAAAGTGAAAAAACGACTTTTGGAGCTACTACACTTTTCAAAGCTTTCAAATATACGAATTTTTAAATTGAAAAAAAATAATTCTGGGATAGATTTTGTAGGAAATTTTATGCTCTACAAGAATCCGCGACGTAAAATTTTTTATCTCAAACGGTTCAAAAGTTATATTTTTTTTAATGAAAAAAGATTTTTTTACGTGTTATTTCAATGGAAAACTTAGAATGCTCACCGACACCTTTAAAAATTGAGCAAAAAATTTTTCCTTGCAGGGAAATTTTTTGCTCGGTATGTAGGTTCATTTTAACCCATAAATCCGATAGGTTAGTTTTTTTGGCTCACCCTAATATATATGTATACATAGAATATACATTCTATAGAATTATTTTTAAGTGGTATGTGAAGCGTAGGCCACGTATAATCCTGTAGAAACATATACTTAAATTTTTCGTTTTTTTAACATACAACCTTGTTATATTAGGGTGACGATTTGTCAATTTTTAATAATTCTAAAGCCAAAGTATTTTATGGTATAAAATATATGGCAAAATATGAAATGGCAAAATTTAAAACATTTTTTTAGAAATTTGACGATATATCTCAACAATCAAGAAATGTTTTAAAAATGGGTTGGTGTATTCCGGCTTCATGCAGCACGGAAGAGCTTCAGGAATATTTAAACGAATATTTTAAAACCCAATATTTTCCCATGAAAGAACATAATGTTTCTTATGAGGCCCAATTTTCTCCGGAATGGTGTCAAAGTGCAGAGGAAAACGAGTACTTTAGCGGAGGAGACATTGTTTTTACGTAGGTACCTATTGTTAAATTATCTTATGTTTTATTAATAAGGTGTTTTATGGTATTTTTTCTTACATAAATTTTTTTAACATTAAAAAATTATCTTTAAAAAACAATAAATGTTAATAATTATTGCCTGGTAACAAATAAAAATATAGTGTGGTGGATACCATTTTGTTATAATATAAATAAATTATTCATTTATATTATAAATAAATAATTTACTTGACATGGCAATTTAAACCTGCACTATAGTTATAATAAAAGTATGAATATGAATAAAATTAATAAAGTTAAATAACGATTAAAATTTGTATTGTAAAATAAAACAATAACATATTTTTATGACTACATAAAATGTTTCATGACACACCAAGATTGTTTTAAATAATTTTTTATAGTTTTTGAAAGGCCGATATGTTCAAAAAATAAAAGAATAGTATGTAGTAGTTCTTGCAACAATTTAAAAGTATAAACATATTGTAACGTTTTTAACTGTTCGTAGTGTGAATTAAAACACGCACTGGTTAACTAACGAACTAAACTATTTATTTAATAACTTAACTACACTTAAAACACTATAAAACTAACTAAACACTTAACTACTAATTATTTATATCACTACTAGTTTATTTATTTGCACTTATATTTATTTATTTCTTCGCGCGTACCAAAGATCAACTGACTGCTCTGTGTTGCTCCGTTTCTTATATATTCAGCGCCCAAGTATTCTGGAACATTCCAGCGAGCTCCACACTCTCGATTATTCGAGCGCTGAGTCACCGGCGATGACTCACCGGCAATGACTAATCGGCGATGAGTCATCACTCCGATATCCAGGGCGGTACTCGCTAGATTGCCCCCGTCTTAAAACATTTTCGTCCCGAAAATGGTCCTCAGCTCCATGGCGATATTTGCATAGAGATCCAAACTTGCATTGTGACGTCCTATAGAAGTAGCAGTCTACGGTCTTCCTTCCGGTTGTTCTTTTAGGGTTGTGGCAACAGACAAGAATGTGTATGCCACTAAATCTGAAGATAACTTCCACCATACTTCTAATTATTCTCCAGTCTAAACCGTCCAGTCCACAAGCAATCTTCGGTATCGCCAGGTTCATGATGTCCTTGGATAAAAGGGCATCCCTCAATTTATTTAAGGCATTCCATAGGTCACGGTAGTTTGGCTTCTGATGGGAGAGCTGCTTCGTTACCAGATAGAAGATACTTCTATTGCCTATCTGCTCTTTATCCACAATTTCAAGCACCTCTCCAACTTTGTGATTCTGCCTTCGTAGATCGTCGACCCGTCCAAACTTGTTTTTAAAGACAACCGCTATTCCCCTGGACATCCTAAGGTCTTCCGCAACACAGTGAGCCAAGGAGTAATCGGCCGAAACCGTGAACAGATCTTTTTGTTCTTCTTGAGTGACACCGTAGCGAGCTTTTTTACCGCTCGAATATAAATACATGAAGTCTTCAAATGGCAATTCGTCTTCCGGCGGATTAACCTTCCTTACTCTAGCGTCGTTTATTTGGTCATCATTGTTTCCAGCGTAAGGAGCCAATCGGTTAAAATGGATCACTTTCGGCTTTCCTCTTGGTTGTTTTCTGATCCTGTAGATGATGTCATTTATGCGATCCACGACGGCGCTGAGGGTTGTATAACCAAACTAGGTCTCCAGGTTGAAATCCTCCAGTAGTTCCATCATGGATTTCCAGCAGCACTTCTGGTATCCTATTTCTGGGGATTATTATCTGCTTCCGGTCTTCCCCCCCTTCTGGCAACTCCAGAACGCGCTTTAGAAGCCCGTCACTTAAGATGATGGAATTCCATTGGGCCCAGTACGATTTCACATTCGGCGAATATTGGGCGACTTCCTGCCACGTTGGTTTACGGTCGTTCTTCTTCCAATCGATGATAAGCTTCAAATCCGGATCCCTTTCCTGGTCTTGTTGAACCTCAGCGGATTGCCAATGATCATCCACGATTGTAGTCCTCCGAACAAACACATCCTTTTCTTCTGCCCTGAGACAATGTTTACAGTCTTCCGGGCACGGTCTTCTTGACAAGGCGTCAGCATTTCTATGGATGGTCCCAGCCCGATGTTCTGTGTCAAAGTCGAACTCCTGTAGTCTCTCAATCCATCTTGCTACCTGTCCTTCAGGATTCTTGAATTGCAAAAGCCATTTTAGGGCAGCATGATCCGTTCTTAGCAAGAATTTTCTTCCATACAGATACTTGTAAAAGTGTTCGACTGATTTTACCACTGCCAACAGCTCGCGTCGAGTAACACAGTAATTTCTCTCTGGTTTCGATAGAGTTTTACTGAAGAATCCAATAACTTTCTCTTTTCCTTCTTGAATCTGCGACAAAACAGCTCCCAGGCCCACATTGCTGGCGTCCGTGTCCAAAATAAATTCACCATCCGGAAGAGGATAACTTAGGACTGGTGAGCTGGTCAACGCGTTTTTCAGGTTCTTAAAGGCTTCCTGGCATTCGTCGTCCCATTGGAATCGTCTTTCTCCCTCTGTTAAACGTGTCAAAGGCTTAGCAACCCTTGCGAATCCTGGTACGTACCGACGGTAGTAGGTGCATAATCCAAGAAAGCTTCTTAAGTCATGTTTATTCTTCGGTATTGGCCATTCCCGCACCGTCTTCACCTTCTGTTTGTCCACTGCCACTCCTTGACTCGAAACAACATGGCCCAAATACTGCACTTCCCTCTGGAACAAGTGACATTTCTTCGGGCTTAGCTTCAGGCCGGAACTTCTTAAGCGCTGAAAGACTTCCTTCAGGTTCTTCATATGGTCCTCAAATGATTTCCCAACCACAATGATGTCGTCAAGGTACACCAAGCATGTCTTCCAGGATAGTCCCTTCAAAACCATTTCCATGAGCCTTTCAAAAGTTGCAGGGGCAATACATAGTCCAAACGGCATGACAGTAAACTGCCACAGTCCTGCACCCACGGTAAACGCCGTCTTCTCTCTATCTTCTGGTGCCATTTCAACTTGCCAATAACCGCTCTTTAAATCCAAAGTTGAAAATATCTGCGATCCAGCCAATGTGTCCAGGGTGTCATCGATCCTAGGTAGAGGGTAGCTGTCCTTCTTCGTCACGTTGTTCAGCTGACGAAAATCGACGCAAAATCGAGTTGATCCATCCTTTTTCTTAACTAATACCACTGGGGAAGACCATGGGCTGTTGGATGGTTCGATCACCCATTCCTTCTCCATTTCTTGCACAATTTTATCAGCTTCCTCTCGCTTGGCAAGTGGCAGCCTTCTTGCCGACTTTTGAATAGGCTGTGCATCACCGGTGTTAATTTTATGCTGGACAATTCTTGTCCTACCCTTCTTTCCTTGTCCGTCGTCAAAGACATCCTGATAATTGTGAATCAGCTCTTTCAGTTTTATCCTTTCATTGGGTTTCAAATCCTTTGAAGAAGTCGACAGAAGATTCGTCAATTCATTGCTAACTTTCTTGGCCGGAACTCCTGACTCACGAATGCCTCTAATAATCGAGGAAACTGAAGAACAGTTTCCCAAAACGATTCCTTTCTTCAAGTTCACAGAGTAACCATTAACATTCAATACTCTAACAGGCACTTCTTTTCCGACACGTATTAAAGTCTTCCCTACTACAATTCCTCGACCGACCTCTTTGTCATCAATTCTCGGCTCCAGAAGCATTATACTTCCATCTTCTGATTTACAATCCAAGAAAGCCTTCAATATCATCTCGCTGTTTTCCGGTATCAAAGCATCTTCTTTTAGCATTACACGAATATTCTTTTCTTTAGATCGATGCAACACGACTTCCTCTCCATTTACCCTCAATATTCCTTGCTTAAAGTTCAGTTCAAATCCTATTGAGTTCATAATGTCCATGCATACAATAACTTCATCTTCAATATCTGCAACTAATGCTCGATGTTTAAATTTCGTGTTTCCTATGACCATCGTGATGTCCATTTCTCCACGAACAGTAGCGGTTTCCCCTGTTGCAGTACGTAGTCGCCGATTGGTAGATTTGTTCTTGGACATTTCGACAATATCTGGCCTAATAATTGTCTTCGTCGCAACTGTATCCAGCAGCAGCACATGTAATTTTCCATTAATAAAACCATCCACAAAAACACTGCTGGACTGGTGTAGAAGAGATGCAACGCGTTCGATATCTTCTGGGGCATGCTGGTTACAGGTCGACGGTGGCCCCTTTTCCTCGACCCTATCTAGTTTTCCGACTGAGACGAAGTCGGCGCCACCTGGCTTTCTCTGCAACGACTTCGTATATGTCCTAGCTTTCCACATCTCCAACACCGGATTTCCTTCTTCTCTGGTAGATTTTCTTTAAAAACTCGCCTGATTGCTTCAATTATACTGGGTTTCTCCTCTTTCTCTTCATCGACTCTCCTTATTCTAGGCTGGCTCCTGCAGCTCTGCTTTGCCGCCTCGAACTCCAAAGCTCGTACCAATGCATCAACCAGTTGGCTCGGACGAGCCAGTGTTAGAGCCTGTCTTGTCTCATTGTCTCGAAGTTCATCCAAAAAGGCTTGAACCGCTAATCGTTCCATAACGGTAGTTGGAGTAGCTGGATATGCTAGCCGAACCAAGCGTGCAATATCAGCCTCGAATTCTTGTAAAGTCTCGTTTCTGGCAGCGATTCTTCAGTTGGGAATGGTACACATGTTCCAGATGTGTCTGGCCATATCGAAGTTCTAGATGTTTCACCAACGCTTCGTAATCTTCTTGTTCGTTGGGAGAAAGCGTCTGCAAGATGTCCGTTGCATCTCCGCGTAAAGCCAGAGTCAATGCTGTAGCCTTCTCTTCTGGTAGCCAGCCATTTGCTTTTGCTGCTGCCTCAAACTGTCGGATGTAGTTGGTCCAAGAAGTTTTTCCATCGAACTGAGGTGGTTTCATCCGAACTCGGCTTCCCTCCGGCATTGTTCCTGGTTCCGCCAGTATCATGGGTAGATTTACAGCTGTCAGTTTACTATTTATTTCTTT